TTTTTTTTTTTTTTTAATATTAATATATATAATTCTAACAGATATGGTGCTATGGAGTATGATTTGGAGGAAATTTGGGAAGTCTTTTGTACAAGTTGAACTTTCCGCTTCTAGAGAATCTTACAACTAGACTTGGGCAAATGACGGGCCGCGACTCGACCCGGCATGGCCTGCTGGGTCGGCGGGCCTCAATTTAATAGCCCGTAACGAGCATTAAACCACTGGGGCACCGACTCGTCAGTTTTCAGTCGATTCGGACCTGGTCCGACCCATTTAAAAAAAATTTACAAAAGGCAGCTCGGCTTTCAACCCATTGCCCGAACCGACCCAGCCCAAACCGTCGGAAAAAAAAAATTCAAGAACGGGAACCGACCCGCATGGCCAAGGTTTTGGTTCAACAAACCGGCGAAATCCGGGATGGTTGTGGGCTGGGCCGGGTAGGCCCGTTGCTATGTCTGCTTACAATGAATAAAAGCTAAAGATTGAAATGACACTTAGATATTAACTCCAAAAAAAAAANNNAAAAAAAAAAAAAAAAAAACAATACCTCGGACGGTAAATTAACGGTCTAATATTCATAATTTCTTAAAATATGTACGTTCTCATTCTCAAATGTTAAATTTTGTCAAAAAAAAAAAAACATAAATAAAATTATAAAACTTAATAGTGTAAGATTTTTTATAAAAAAAAATTAACTGAAGAGACTACTCCCATTAGAAATTGTAAATTATAAATTGTAAATGCTCCCATTAATTACTAATCTATGCCTTGAAACTATACATGTTTCTAAGTAATTTAGAGTAGTTACATCAATTAAGAAAATACTTGCATGAATTAATGTAGGATTTTATTAGGCATTACTATTTTATAACTACTTCTTCCTCCAACTTTTTTTTTCCCTTTTATAAATGTTTTGCTCATTTACTGCAACAAAATATGAACAACTCAGGGAGACAGGATGCCTGGTCCCCTCAATTAAATTTACATAAATTTTAATAAGTCTCTTCACACACGTTGCTAAGGTATTGTTTGGTTGGGGGTAAAAGGAGGGGAGGGGAAGGGAAGGCAGGGCTTTTTTTTATTTTTCCCTTGTTTGGTTGGGATAATTGGATAGGAGGGGAGGGAAAATTTTAACTTAAAATCCCCTCCCCTCTCCATTTTTGCTCCCCTCCAAAAATGGGGGAATTTGGAGGGGAGGGAAAATTTTAGTACATAAAGTTACAATTTTACCCTTATTGAATATATAATATTTTAGTTTTTTATTTCTAATATCATTAAGGATAAATTTGTCATTATAACATTATTTTCCCTCCCCTTTCATTTTCTAACCAAACAAAGTTTACCATTTTCCCTTCATTCCCCTCCTACAAAAATCCCTCCAAACAAGGTAAAATTATTTTACATCACCTCCCCTCCCCTCCCTTTCCTTCCATTAAAATCCCTCCCCTCCCCTCCCTTCAGTTGAACCAAACATAGCCTAAAGCTATTTTTGGTATCACTGATTCATTCATAGAAAATGAAATTTCTGCATGAGTCAGTCTAATGGTTAGAAGAATCGACCCGTTATACTATCTGAACAAAAATACATATTTATACTACCAGCAGTGGCGAAACCAGCCGGTCATCTTCGGGAGGGCCCAATTTGCCGCGGCGCACCACCCCCACTCCGGCATCCCGCGGCGCACCACCCCCACTCCGGCATCGGAAGGACGCTCAAAGGGCTTTTGTGGACGCTCTCAGAAATTTTTGCAGGATATAAAGGCATACTCTAGATATTTTTCTAAAAATCAAACTAAGTCCGGAATTAAACTGGTATACTTAAACTGAATTGTTTTAACTCGAAAAATACTCGAATTTATCCTAATAAAAATCTCGGACTCAATTATAATAATAATCAAGAAATTATACCTCCTTTTGAATAGACGAAAAGCTAAAAAAATTGAGAAAACGAAGCCTCGAACGATCGAACTCGTCCTCGACAAATTTGCTCCTTTAGATACTATTTAACGCAGAAATTCAAACTCCCATAATAAATGCTCGAAATTCCAAAAAATGTCGAAATTTGTCCGTATGGAATCGTGCTTGAATTGTCTACACGCTCCAACTCGATTCTCGTTAAACCGAGGTCACACGCAACCTTACGGAACCCCGCAAAACGGCTTTTTATTCTTCTATTATGCGCACTCGACTTCGAGCTTCTCAAAATAAATGCTCAAAACTTCGAAACGTGAAATAAATTTTACGAACGACTTCTATTGTTCTCGTGCTTTCAAGAAAGCACTCTCGCTAATTTTCAGCACGCCTAACGAGGGTCGACGGTTACCCGAAGTCTAGACATGAAAATGACAATAAAATCACCGTCGCTGCCACTTTTTTCTCAACTTCGGGCTACCCAAAATAAATGGCCGGGATCTCAAAATCATAAATCGATGCCACCAACGCACTCTCCGCTTCCCGTACTTTCATAAAAGTATTTTTCGGTAATGATCGACTCGGTTTTTGAGTCCCGTCGGTATACTGCAAGTCGGCTAATTAACCAACTCAAAATATAATAAAAATAAAAAAATTATTAAATTCTGCTGCTGTTATAGTTTTCCTTGTCCCGAAACCAGGATCCCGTTTCGGGGAGAGCCCAATTTGCCTTTAAAAAATATTTTCACCACAAAACCGGTGGCGCCCCTCCGGCCATGTATGTACCGCATGAAACCGGGGCGGGCCCAACATGCGCGCTCAAAGGAAAATCTTCTAGTTCCAGCAAAATCCTCCACCCCTAGTTTAATTTTTTTTTAGAGGGGCCGGCGCCTCTCCGACCCCCTTAATGGTTTCGCCACTGACTACCAGTTGTTATGCTAACGTTGTTTTTAAATTTTTTTATGAAATTATGTACAATTATGGGGAGAGGCTACGGTCTCGTTGCGGAACTATTCCGTCGGGGTTTGTAACCGGTAGATCATCACATAGCCGTCGGGATAGTTTATTTAACGGTTACAAATCCCGACAGAATGTTTTTGTGACGGAATCATATCATTTTCCACAATTATGAGAAAAATATATCTACCAAACTAAAGAAAGAGGCAATGGTAAAATTATGATATAAAGTATTTATTTTTCTTCTCCCACATTGACTGACCATTTTTTTTAGTAACAAATATTACGCGTCATATTTATTTTATATCTATCACAGCCACTAGGAAACAAAAAGCCAGCAAAGCTCAACAAGATAAAACCATGTTCTCTAGTCCAAAAGTCAAAATTGTGCCAAACACACATGAAGACAACTAATCAAAGGGTTAAACTTAAAAAATAGTTATTTTCAAATTTACACAAGAGCTTAACAGTGTCTAATCATGCATGAAAAGGTGAAACCCAATCTATAAAAGGGGGCCAAAGTTGAGTGCAAACAACACAACCGAAAACACAATAAAACATGGGAACAAATTCAAAGGCCTCCAAAATGGCTCCTCCTCTAATTGCTACTCTCACAGTAGCAATTCTTGCACTTTGCTTCCCCTCAATAGCCAATGCAACCTACCAATATTCCTCTCCTCCGCCGCCTCCTTACGTTTACAAGTCCCCACCACCCCCGGAGAAGTCTCCACCACCGCCGCCAGTTCACAAATCTCCACCACCACCAATCTACAAGTCACCACCACCCCCACCTAAGAAATCTCCACCACCACCACCGGTCTACAAATCTCCCCCGCCGCCAGTCTACAAAACCCCACCACCACCACCTAAGAAATCTCCACCACCACCACCGGTCTACAAATCTCCCCCACCGCCAGTCTACAAGTCACCACCACCACCACCTAAAAAATCTCCCCCACCACCTATCTACAAATCTCCACCACCGCCAGTCTACAAGTCACCACCACCCCCACATAAGAAATCTCCACCACCACCACCGGTCTACAAATCTCCTCCGCCGCCAGTCTACAAATCCCCACCACCACCACCTAAGAAATCTCCACCACCACCACCGGTCCACAAATCTCCCCCACCGCCAGTCTATAAGTCACCACCACCCCCGCCTAAGAAATCTCCACCACCACCACCGGTCTACAAATCTCCCCCGCCGCCAGTCTACAAATCCCCACCACCACCACCACCTAAGAAATCTCTACCGCCGCCAGTCTACAAATCTCCCCCACCGCCCGTCTACAAGTCACCACCAGTCTACAAATCTCCACCACCGCCTGTCGTAAAATCTCCACCGTATGTCCACAAATCCCCACCGCCGCCTAAGAAGTCTCCACCACCTCCGCCACCAGTGAAGAAGCCTCCACCACACCCTTACTACTACACCTCTCCTCCTCCTCCTCACCACTACTAAGACATCAAACTACTTCAAATTCCCAAGTAAGTAACAAAAACTTACTCACATCACTACTTAATTTCACCATAATTTACCAAATGAACACATTTTAAATTGCATTACTTAACAACTTTATAATACAAAAGCATGCTTTAAAGTCGTAATGCACGAACATTCGAAATTATTTGATCGGTCGATAACTAAGTTTGTGAATGATGTTGCAGGAAATTAAGGAGAATGTCTGAAATAAAAAAGTTGGTTAGCTAGAGATGAAGAGGTTTTTGCATAATGAAAGCGATGGATCCATGCAAGAAGAAAATGGATGGACATAAGATCATTTTATGTAGTAGTAGTAATAATAAAAAGCTCAATTAAATATTCGGACTATATATCTCCTTTTTTTCATTTGTTGCATGTTTGTATTTTGCCACTTTATAATATTGTTGTGCGCTTTATTATGTCTTTGCTCAAATATCGAATAAAATTTCTAATTTCTGTACTCTAAGAGCCTTCATTAATTTTGTGCTTTGCCTGCTGCAATAATATTTATTTTTGTCATCCATCTAATTAGTTTGCAAATTTATATTCTGCAGACACCTACACAATTTCTCAATATAAAAAACACAATTAAATTTAAACGTATATAGTCATTAGTTTATCTGACTCAATAACTGGGAAAAGAAAAAAAAAATTAAAACAAAATATAAGAGAAACTGAAAGTAAGAACGAGGTACTGAAGTCAACTCACCATCATTAAATGTGAATAAAGCTGATGCCGAAATCAAGAGCGCTTGGATAAGATGGCTTGGGTCTCTTCCAACTTAACCAGTGGTCTCGTGTTCGAGTCCTGAGAATGCAGCAGTATTAAAACTCTTGAGGGAGAGCTTTGCCGCCCTTGTGGTCCTACCCGGATCGATTCAGAATTAGTCGGTTCCCTTGTGGATCCGGAAACCGGAAGGTCCCTGTACCAAAAAAAAAAGCTGATGCCGACAAAAAACATTGACTTTTGTACTGGGGTTTCCAGAAAAATTAAATAAATAGAACAGGGAAATATTGGGTAACAAATTGTATAAAAGGGGAAAATATATGTACTCAAAACTTTTTGAATTTAAAGGCTAAAATAAGAAAAGAAAATAGTAGAACACGTACGATGTGATATTATGTATGGTGGGTCCAAACACGCAAATTTACATGGTACTCTACATGGACCTAAAATGACCACAAATGTGACAAAATAATTTACTACGATACATTTATATGGGAAAAAAAAAATAAAAATAAAAATGTGCCTATTCATATAGTTGGTGTGTTGAGTGAAGTTGAAGTCTACAAATCACATATCTATTTTTTTGTAATACTGTTAAACAATGGAGTGTTTTGATTACAACGGGAACCTATAAACTGACTGAAGTGTTCAGTTCGTACAATTTGAACAAAAACAAAATCGAAAATTACAAAAGAGAAAGCAAAAACAGCCGAGGCGATTGTTCTTTCCGCAAGACGAAAATGCCCCGTATAGTGCTGACGGGTTCAGACGTCTCGTCCCCAAAGATACAACGGCTTACGTCTCGAACGCTGTAGCACACCAGAATTCGAGCTCCGACGAACTGGAATGAAGTCGAGAACAAAGCAGTATGATATGATGCGTGAGGCTTTGAGAGTATTAAGAGTGCATGCAATGTTGTCTCCTTTTCCTCTGCAGCTCTAAGTCCTATTTATAGGACTTCCACCTCTTGAGGGAAACCAACAGTCACATCTGCCACTTAAGGCAGAGATAATGGGCAAAACGTTTCAAGTGTGTTAATACACCATTAATAAGGAGTTAACACCACTAACCAGGTATTAACACCATTAACATTCCACCTGAGCTGTTACATTTCACATGAAGAGTCAGGTGTCCAGATTCATTGTTCATGGAGAAGTCCCACTCGGGTTGGGTCAAAATTCGAGTCCAAGTCCAAAATGGATTTTCCAGTTGGGCCTAAAATTACAAATAAATTTGCAGCAAAAAGATATATAGTGATTGGGCCCAAGGCCCGAGCCCCACCATCCAAGGCCGCCCAAGTCCAGCCCAAAGTCCAATTGCCAAGAACCAAGGACCAAAGCCCAAGGACCAGGCCCAGACCCGGGCCCGGGCCTGAGCCCGAGCCGGCCGGCCGGCGGGCGCGCGCGCGTGCGCGCGTGTGGCCGAAAACAACACCAACACTTGGTGCATAACTTTGTGCTTGTTGTAACCTCTCCATCTCTCTTTAATATATAATAAAGAGAGTTAAACTCATTTAAGAGTCCAATGTGGGAGTGACTCTTGACCCTTCAAATCCCACAACCAACGTTTTACTTGCCCTTTTATGGCTAACTTTAATAATTTATTTCTCACTCACCGAAAATCAGTTTTGAAAAAATAAATATACCAAGAGTATCTACTCGGAACGTAGAATTTTTCTACAATATTTAATTCTACTCAAATTAAATATTTAGCCATAAAAAATTCAGTCAAAACTGGGTCAAACCCAAGTTTTATAACTGATTTTTCCAACAAATCTTTCAATACGTATGTCATTGTATATGATATCCAAGAATAAGTGAATATTATTAGAACCGGAGAAGAGGGTGCAGTTCCACCAAGTAAAGTGCACCACAAGAGAGTGAGTCTAGATAGGTGTACATTAGTGAGGGTGAGCTTAGATGTAACTTAGTGAGGTTTCATCCCAAAACCAATCGAAGTAGCTCATTAGGCTTATAAAGTGAGCTCATTTACGTCCTCTCACTTGTGAGTAGGGCTGCAAATGATTTTTTAGGCTCAATCTCGACTCGATAAAAAATTACAATAGCTCGAAATCAAAATGCTTGAGCTTGGCTCGAGTTCGACTACAAAAATTTTAAGTGAAAAGGTAAAATTACCATTAAGGACCTATGCTAACATATATATAAAAGATATTTTAGTAATTTAACATGTATCTCGAGCCGCTCGACGAGCCACTCGACAAGGCAAAATATTGGCTCGAGCTCGACTCGAGTTCGTGCTCGAGCCGCTCGAGTCGAGCTTTGACTCGAGTCGCTCGGTTCGTTTGCAGCCGTACTCGTGAGTCCTTCGTAAGGACAAGCCGAGAGCAGGGTCAGATAGAGATATGGAGCCCAAGCCCAACAACTTACAAGTGATATTCCAACACGCCATCTCACTTGTGAGGGCCCAAGCCCAACAGAGAAGGCCGGGTAAAGTAAGCCCAAGCCCAGAGCAGACCGGGTAGTGAAAGTCATTGCAGGTCCTAGGGCAGGCTCGGTCTGATACCATATTAGAACCGGGGGAAGAGGGTGCAGTCCCATAAGGTAAAGCGAACCATAAGAGAGTGAGTCTAAGTGTACCTTAGTGAGGTTCCATCCTAAAACTAAATTTGTGATGGGAGGAGTAACCCACTAGACTTTTAAACTAAACTCATTTACCCTGTAGAATCAATGTAAATCAAGTGATATTCCAACAAATATTGTGTTTTATACTAAATGTAAAGTTAGAAGAATGTTGTTTGTCAAATTTGATGGTTATTCTATCATACAATTTCAATAAATAATAAGGCAAAATTACATTTTTTGCCCTGTAACTGTGTGTGTGGCAAATGTGGACAACTTTTTGGTTTGACAAAAGTTCCCCAAAACTTGTTAAAAACATGAATTCGTGCCCAATTTTCCTAAAGTTACCGAATTTGACCGGTTTTTCGTGTGACAAAACAGGACAGTAACTTGTTTAAATTTGAAATTTGTGCCCAAATTGGGCACGAATTTCGGGTTTTAACAAGTTTCAGAGCACTTTTGCCAAACCAAAAGGAAGTTGTCCATATTTGCCACACACCCCTTGTTACAGGGCATAAAATGCAATTTTGCCTAAAATGTAAATATAACGAACTTTAAACACAAGTAAAATACCTCAATCATATAAGTATCTATATTAAACAATATATGGACTACCTACCCATTTGTGATAGCGTACGTGCATGGATCCTATCATCCTATCACTTAGTGAGAGAGATTAGGTAAAGATCGAGAGTTGATTTTCAAAATCACCGGCTGCCGTGGACTTTTGTCTACCATGTACTTTGTGTTTAACTGTTTTGATTTAAAATTATCACAATTATTTATTTGCTAAAAGCACGACATTAATTAATTTATGATAGAATTAGTCGGAAGTTGTTATAGTGAGAGATAATATAATTTATGGCTTTCATTAAATTTATGATTACAAAGTGTCGGTTGTCACACCATATATACCCACGCAAAAGTATCAATCCCTCTTTATATAATAATTCAAAACGTGTTGCGCTTAGGTAACAGATTCTCACACTTCGGATGTTGACGTGGCGAAAATCTATTGTTCGTGATGTTGTTTTTATATTATTTTTGCTTTGGAGTTAAGTTTGGTATTAGACATAAATAACTTTACACATATATTCATTAACTCAACACCCATGTTATACATAGGTATTAGTACTAGTATTAGTTATTTCTTAATTGAACTCTTCATACTTTGTTTCACCATTATTTTAATTATAAACGGTTAAGAAGCTCCCCCTACATTCTCTTATTACATCTCAAATTGGCTTGTAATTTATAGTTGAAAAGTTAACTAATATAATAAAAGCGTTCGATAAATTAACTGATAAGTCAACTAAACTAAAATCTCTTGAATGGAATTACCAAATATAAATCATACAATTGAAACAAACGTGATTGAAGTTTGGAAAACATCAGAAGTTTATAATTTTTGTGTCCATGAGACACATCTCTACAAAACCATGCACGTACGATACAAAAAACTTCATCAAATATTATTTAACACGAAACATTTATAATAATCTTTAAAATGTAAATTGTCTGATACTAAAAAACCAGTCCTTACATTTTGAGTCATGGCTCAAAAGCTCGGATATTCTTTCATAACAATTAATACTAGTAGATATCTTGTGCACATGCACAGATGTACATAAAATATTAATAAGTAATATTTGAGATTTAATATTAAAATTCTC